AGAAATTGTCATAGCGGACAACAAACGACGGTAACAATTCCGCCTAGCAATTTTGCATCGTTCACAGAAATTCCGGAGGAACCAAGCCAATCAACTCTCTCATTCAGCGATGTAAGGCACCAAGTGATCCCGTCGGAGGATAGTTTCACTTTTAATAAAAAGTCAGACCAGTTGTGTCAAACAGACCCCCCAGACCAACCGGCAGAATGTCAAGCCATCTCTATGGAGGAGGAAGATGTACCGCTAGTTCGGAAAAATCTCCAAAAAGCACTCGACGTGGATTTTATCGCGGCGGCCACAAAACGTGATCGCAATTTTCAACCCCTGATCAATATGGTACGCCAACAAAAGTGGGTTCAGATCAAGGCGTGCTACGGACCACATTTTTACAACGTGCGCGACCGATTGTCTGTCCGTAACAACGTCTTACTCTATGATGACAGACTAGTAATTCAAAAGCAGTTAAGGCAAATCTTTCTAAACTCGATCCACCTAACTCATCCGGGACAAGGCGACATGCTGGAAGCTGCCAAGCGCATATGGTATCCATATCTCCATAGAGATACAGTTACAGCAGCTCAAAATTGCAAGGAAGGCCGCGCCAAAGGTAAGAATCTTCGAGTAATATCGGGTAAGAAACACTTCACTAGCATAGACACCGTGGTCGAACCGAATGAGGAAATCCAATTGGATTTCGCCGGACCGTTACCGGATGAAAACAAAAAAGACGTGTACATCCTAGTTGGGGTAGATAAATTCTCAAGATTCCCATCAGCAAAAGTGGTAGCAAATTACAAGGCAGATACAATCATCAAATTTATGCAAACGAATTTTGTAAATGACGGTGTGCCAAGAAATATCCGGTGTGACCAAGCTCAAGGGTTTGGGGCTAAAAATTTATGATCTATTGCAAAAGCAAAAACATTAAACTGATATTTGCTCCAGTGGACGATCATCGCTCAATGGGCATGGTAGAAAGACTAATCAGAATTTTGAAAACTCGTCTCTCTATTATGAAAATCGATAAAAATATCTCGCCCTACAAAATAGCGTCAGATGTGGCAGAACTAATCAAGACACTGTGTATTACCCCACACACAACAACAAAAATTACCCCGTTTGAAGTACACTACTGGCGTAAACCAAACACCCCATTAACTAATATCTGCACAACACCCAAAATCTCTCGGGAAAACACAAATCTTTCGTGTTTAGATGACAAGATACTCACAAAGTCTGCCCTCACGCCCGAAGCAATTTGGAACAGGGACATCAGTAGTGAGGACGAACTGAGTGTGGCATACAAAAGTAACTACCTTCCCGAACCATCCTTTGAACCAGCGGGACCATCAACACAAGCGGTTCCAAGTAAGATAACGGGACGAGCATCAACTAGCCAGATAGAAACAATGAAAAAGAAGCAGGTGACACTTTCGGATACTGACGAGGACGAGGAGTTCGATCAGGCTCTGCTGAAAAAACTCCCAATAGTTGCTCATCTTCCACTTAATAATATACCCTATGACTTACAAAAAGTGAAACGGTCTTTTCTCGCCGATAACCCGCAACATGATATAGCGAACATTAGAACAAGAAAACCAATTCGTTAGCTTACACAACAAGAAAAACAAAGGATAGAAAGAGCCACCTTGGTTTTCCTAAAAGATCGCTTTAAAGCACCCCAGGACACCAGAGACCCAAAATTAGGAAAACGTATAGAACAAGTGGCACGAAAATTGGGTACCATAGCACGTAAAACAAAAAATCCTGGTGTATTCGGGGCACAATTCAAAATAATCGAAAACGGATCAATCATTAATTACTCCCCGCATACTGCGTGGGTCCGGGAAGATGGAAAAAAACCGAGGGTAATAAGACACGACGGTCTAGCTTTTGTACCAGATCCTCGAGTTTACGGTAAATGTGGACCGGCGCAGCTACAAGATTTTGTAGCATACAAACATTTACCAAGATCTAAACCCCGTATTTCAGACAAAGAAGTTAAACAAACAAAACCAACTGGCTCAAAGATCCAAAAGCAAACACCCAAGGGACCAGAGAATCCGGCGGGAAAATCATCAACACCTACGAACCCCAAACGAAAGCCACCAAAGAACATCGAGGAACTCATCCGGCAAATTACAAACCGAAGGACGCTAGGACAACAACGTATCCATAAAACGACACCGACAACATCAAAAAGTCAACCTTTAAGAAACCCACCAACGGCTACGAAAAACCTGAAGTCTCCCAGTCGAAAAGGAAAGGGCAGCGCAGAGAAAGCACGCAGAGATAACAAACACATAGAATTTGAGTGTGACACGTCTATTTCAATATCATCGGACGATTCTATTAATCAAGATATTACGCAATCGCTACACATGCCCCCAGCCAAAAAGATAGACCGGAAAAACACACCGCTACAGGAAATAATACCAAGCCGTAGATCCACAAGGACCAAAACAAGCGCGCTTGCAAACAAATTCGGAAATCCAATTGCGATTAACACGATCGCCAACGATACTACTGCGGACAGCGCGGTGTGTCACATAACAGTACAACGCCAGCAAGATCAGAATGCGGAACCAATTGGTCAAGCAGCAGGCACGACGCACGAATAGTCAACCGATATCGAATGTATCGAAATCAACTCAACTGACAAAACGCCAAAACAGTTAAGGGTTCAGGAAACCATTGAAGGGACAGGTGGCCAAATCACTTCCATTGGCGACACATCCGATCCAGATGATACACTGTACACACCGACAAAAACGACCACACACTCAACTTCACCACAGAGTAACCCGAGTGACAAATTAGTTTCGAAGTTAAATACTTCAGCACAACGCGGTTCACCACAAAGCCCGATCCAAAGAGCAGTTAGTTCACGTTACCTGATCGATAGACCAACTGGAAGTTCATGCTCACCAGACAAATCATTCAGTGACAGTTTTAATGACGCAATGAAGATCCTCAAATCCATCTTGCCAACAAAAAACTCTATGACATTCCAAAGAGAATGTAAGAGACAAGATCGCCTAAGTGTCTCATTAAACTCACAAAGGAGGCGAAAACCGGCCACCCAACAAATACCACAGACATCATCGGCAACGAACGCCCCCCAAACTTCCATTCCACCAAACGAGGACGCTACCGAAAAACAGGAGAACATATGATGTGCTCATCATATAGAAAAAAGAAGGGGGAATGTTATCCGTACGGATACACTGGATATCCATTAGAACTCTGTATAACTAAAACATCTAAACGTTAACCATACCTACTTATGTAACATCATGTAAACGTAATCATATAGATGTCTGATCTAAATTAAGTACCTATTAAACCTAACACCATATTCAATAGTTATTTATGAGTCTCTGTCGCTCTTACGATTTCGAGGTCAGATTCGAATGAGACTTAACTTTATCAATTGAATTTAAGTTGTTCTCTCAATCTTCCTACTTCTCATCTCATCTAGCGATCAGCATAGACTTTGACTACATAGATTATATAGATTATACCCCACCTACGGTTGAGGGTATAACATGAACGTTCCGACACAAATTTAACATGTTTATAGCCTTCTCTCTAGAATATAGGACCATGTAGACAAAAAAATTGTCCGCCTACCCATTGCACAGTTTGAACTCGTAGTGCTTGTTACTTGAGTTCAGGCAAACTTGTTTTCAGAAGCTTATAGGAAAAAACTATATAACTAGTAAAAGCTGGTAAAAACTGGTTTGAAAGCGTAGTGCTTGTTGCTTGAGTTCAGGCAAAATTGTTTTCAGAAGCTTATAGGAAAAAATTATAAAACTAGTAAAAACTGGTAAAAACTTTTATAGCATTTGGGGAGCCTGATTTGCTTGTAACAGCATATTTCAATATGCTGTTACAATCAAATCGTTTTGTTAAAATTTAACAAGTTTAAATAATTTATTTAACTACAGTCCTGATTTAATTTAACCGGACAAATTGAGCTAAACTTGAAGTTTAAAACGGGTTTTCTCAAATTAGGTTGAGTTAAGGTGAAAACTTATGAAGACAAAATTGCCTAAAAATTTAGCATAACTAAAATAGTGTAATCTGTTTTGCGAAATTCCGTCCAAAATTTTTATCTCAAAAAGGGGTCATTTTGGCTTTTCTTAGTTAATCAAAAATAACGCCAAAAATACCCAGTCGATCACAGACATACTTATATCGAAGTGAGCCCCTTACGTAGTTCAACAAACTTTAAGAAGGATATATTCTCCAAAAAAAATTGCAAACCGCTTAAAAGTTGTTTTTCAATAAAAAGTTGGTAATTTTCATAAGAAAATGACCTTTTTGGTCTATCAAACAAAAATAAATTAACTGTTTTGGAGATTTAACCCTTTGATAAAATTATGCCTGTGATCGACTGGGTGTTTTTGGCGTAATTTTTGATTAACAAAGAAAAACCAAAATGACACATTTTTGGGGTACAATTTAGGGCCCGAGTTTTGCAAAACAATTGCACCATTTTAACTTTGCTAAAATTTTAAGCAAGTTTCGTCTTCATACGTTTTCGCCTGAACTCAACCCAATTTGAGAGAAACGCGTTTTAAATTTCGAGTTTAACGCGTTTGTCCGGTTATTTTAAATAAGCACTGTATTAGTGCAGGCAGTTTTCAGAAACCATTGTTCTTGTTAAAACTTCTGCTTTGTGAACTTAATATTTGCCAAAATAACTTTTTGTGGTTAAATTCAAAAATACTAGTTCTTTAATTTCAATTGTTAAAAACCGATTCCACTCGTTTTATTTTTCCGCGCATCTAGTTTAGAACTGCTGAGTAATCAATTTTGATGATTGTCAGAAATTTGAAAGTGCGTGCTCAAAAGTGTTTTACCTTTTTACACGGAGAGAATTCTTGCGAGATATCTAATTACGTTTATAAAAAATGCTTCGCCAATTTCTACTTCAAAAAGTTCTTGTGTTGAGGAACAGCTCTAAGTTAATCAGAAATAATAAAAATTCTTGCCTGTCAATCAGACAATCTCCATTGATGCAACTTTCCATGTCACAACCGCGAGATTTATCGCAAAAGCGCCCTGTCCAGCCCATATGACATGAACAGATCCGCCCATCCTCACAATCACCGTGAACACATTCTCCTGGTGCCTCACAGCTCATCTGATTGCAATGTTTTCCTGTCCAGCCAACAAGACAATCGCAGAAGGTGCCTTTTTCCAACTCAAACAAACATTGTCCGTTGTTACAATCTGTCGCAGATTTTCAGTGTTCGATTCTTGGGTTTTTCACCTAAAATCAACAAAAAGATGTTTGTGATATGTTATAGTAGGTGGTAATTTTAAAGTATAGTGCATGTCCTAAATATGAGAATTATAATGCATAATATAGTCACTTAATTCATTTTCAATTGACTATACATGCTGCTAAAATAAATTTTACCTGATTAAATGATATTCAAAAGCTCAAACTTTACACTTCTTCCGCCAAAAAATTTGGCTTTTGAAATACATTATAAATGCTGTGAGAAAAATAATCAAAAGCAATCCAGCGATTTAAGATGAAATTACCACCTAGTGTACAATGTCTATTATAATAAAAAAAACTTTAAAATAATTATAAATAAAGCTATGCATAAATATGCGCATTATAAATAAACTCTTCAAAGTGCGCATATTTTAGTCCAGAACATGGCCAATTTGGCAATTTTCAAACCGCCAGAACTTTACAAAAATGACCGAAAAGTAAATTTTGTTTTCAGAAAGTCAATATCTTTACTGGGGTATAAAAATGTTCGTGAAAACAGCTATTTCGATTGGCAAAACTTGATTGAATAATAAAAACCACATCGAGCATAAACATTCCGTTTTCTTCGAAAATCAGAACAATAAATCTCCGCTTCCGTGTTAATAGCGCGAAATAGTTGTCTCAACTGGGCCACAATGGCAATACTTAACCCCCCATAACTTTACGAAAATTGATCACAGGTGAAATATTTTTTTCAATTTTAAGCTCAAGATAACAATAACTTTTGAATGATATAAAAAACTACCGTCGAAAAAAGCTAGTTAAAAAGCTAGTAAATTAGAGAAATAGCAATCTTCCTCCATTTCAACCAATCAGTTCAATTTTTTCAATTTCTTCAAAGTCTTCATGATAAAAAATGAATGTAAAATTCTTGATTTATTGGCTCGAAACAATTATATAATAATAAGTTCAGCTCACTTTTTTTAAAAGCCTGTTCATGTCTGCAGTTTAACTATTTCCTCAATTTTAATATTTAAGCTGGTTTTTCTAGTAGATAATAATGGACCGAAATAATAGGTTTCAACCTAAACTTGTTTTTTAACCCTAATGAGGTTACAAGTGAAACGGCCTATTTAACTGAAAACAAAGTATTTGTTTTCCGCCAAATGATGCTGTTCTGCTTGCGATTGTGCTTTTGGTTTCTGATGCTGCCTAAAAACAAGCTACAAAAGCATTGCAGTGAAAGCAAACACTTAAAGGTCGTGAATGGTTTTACTTTTTTTTTGCAACGTATCTGATTTCAACCAATATGTAGAAACTAAAAAACATGTCAAAAACGATTGTTTGCAATGAGCGAAACGCAGACGATTGTCAGTTTTCGAAACAAGACACATTCCCAGAAATGAGCGAAGGCTTTTTCAAAGTGGATCACCAAGGCATTAGAAGAATTTTGGAAGGCGAGTTGTGTTATGCTTTACCATCTGAAAATTTTTGAACTGAAAAAAGTGTAGACGTTGTTGTTCCTCAAGAAAAAACCAGCATGATTTCGACTTGGCAGTTCAAGAAACTGTACATTATTTTCGATTAAACCAAAATCAGAAAATACGAACACGTGGTTGCACTTTCTGGTGGAGCAGTTGACTCGCCAGCTAAACCTTTTCTTCTTTTGTAAAAAATTTGGAACAATTTGATGCAGAAAAGGGTGCACAAAATGTTTCTATCACACGATGCAGCGTATTGTCTGAAAGCTGGAAAAATTTTGAAACCTTTTTTTCCAATTTTACTCCATGATACTTGCGTTCGCCACGCAATGCTTTTGTCTTTAGAACACGTTCGATTGAATACGGATGTGGCTAAGGACTGTTTTGCTACTTGGGTGAGATCTGGTATTTTTTTCTCGCCAAGAACTGGGAGAACATTTATGAATGGGTTCAAAACCTAGAAACTGATGGAACTATTGTGAAAGAAGTCAAAATTCCTTCCAAAAACCCGGTACCCTGATGGAGATTTCACTGCTTTTTTGCTTCAAAAAGCCATCAAAAATCACGTAAAAAGGCAGGTGCATCTTATGACACTAGCAGATAGTTTTTTTCGAAGACTACGAGGAAGCAGAAGGGTGAGAAGCCGAAAACACGTTCAAAGAAAGGCTTGTGAAAAACTCCGACAAAAAACAACGTTTACGAGCAAAGGCTGCTTTTTGTTCACTGCTCCCATGTCAGTGGAAAGGAAACGTCTTTTAGCTTTGGGAAAGTTAAGGATTCAAACTCTGCAAACTTTCATTTTCAAACTAAGCAGAAACTGTTGTTTCTGAGTTTTGTTCAGTTCACCATTTTTTGTGACTTTTTGCTAAGTTTTTCACCTTTATAGGCGCCAAATTCGATTAAAAAATGACCGTTTTTTCCGGTCCTCAGTGGCGGATTTAGGGGGAAGGCGAGGAGGGCTTACATAGCCCCACCCCCCCCCCCCCCCACTTCTTCAGGGATTCGACCCCCTGCCGACCCAAAGGGCCCACCTTTGGATTTTTTTGAGAAATCCATTTTTGGCCGACCGACACTAAATTTTTTCTAAAGGCGCCTTTGGCGCCAATATATGCTAACTTTGAGGGGGAGCGCGCGCCAAAAAAAAACGCGTTTTTTTTCTCAACATTTTCCAAAAAGTGCCCAAAAACGGCTTTTCTTACCTGTTTTTGACAGCGTCTCTTTAGTGCTTTTGGAGAGTTCGGAAAATCAATTTGGTCGACCTAAAAAAAGGTAGAGAAGAAAATCCTAGAGCCTCCCCTGCCGGTCCTTGCAGATAATTAACAACAATTCTCAGGTAGACAGCATGAATTTGTTTAAATAACGACAAGATAGACATGATGAAATTGCACCATCTCAAAGTCTATAGAGGAGAAATTCAAACTGATGGTTTTACAAATCATGAACAAAAAAAGTAGCTGTTGCTAAATTTTTGAAACAACTCCTTCAATTTTTAAATCTGTCAAGCTTTTTTACTACTCACCTTTACTGCTTAACTCAGTTTTGTTTATGAGAGTATAGAAAATTGGGCAAAAAATGTAATTTTAAACTTTGTGCAAAAGATTCTTTTTAAGGATACCAGCAAAACGTCTACGCAATTATGCGGACTTGCGAATTGTCCGGTCTTGCAAAATTTGAGAAAAAACATGCAAAATTTGCATTTCAAACGATGCGTAATTCATGTAAGAATGGAAGAATGAACACAGACTGAGATGTTCAAAATACGCTTGATTTTAAGTAACATGAACAAAACACGGAAACTTGCAAAAAAGCTTATGGCTTTTTTTCTGACGAAGAAAAATTAATTTTTACCTGCTGCTTCTAGGCCAGCCAACGCCATGGTGAAACATCCTAGGAGTGCCCACTGAAACATTCGAATTTCATTTATCTTGCCTACCAATATATAGTCATCGTTGATTCAAGTTCAATTCAAATGGTCGCTCGTCTTTATATATAAAAAAGTCTTTTCGATCTTAAGTTATTAAAGAAGCTTAAATTATGGCAAAAAAATACTCGAAAGCAACTGGCATATCATTTTTCTGGCCATTTTGTTTTAAAGTGTCTAACATCGGATTTTCTTACAAGATTTTTTTAAACAGTTTTTTTGGTATTTTCTCTCTAAAATCTTTAGGCCAGACAAAGATTAGGCTGGGTCGGCAATGATTAAGTATTTTCAGTTTATACCAGGAGAACATTAGGAAAACACAATCAAGTTTAACAGAAGTTCAGGAATTTTACACAGGGTAAAAAAATAAGAAATGGGAGCACGAAAAGAAAGGTTAAATTGAAGAAAACATTAGAGGTTCATTTGAATTTTTTAAGCACTTACAATTGCACTCATGATCTCAACCTCTTGAACCTAAAATTGAGAAAAATTTGTGAATATGAATACTTTGGTTGACTATTTTCTTTACTGACTGTTTTTGGAGATTAGTATTTGAAAAATGAGATGGTAAGTTTCTAATCTTGAGTTTAAATTTATGAATCTCAATGTCGACAGGGGCTTACGGACTTTATAGTTCAGATAAGAACTTAAGTTTCTTGCAACATCAAAAAGATCAAACTTATGAAAGTTTGGAGTAACGATTGAAAATTTAATCGACTGAAACAACTAGTTACGTGTTTGCTACGCTCATAAGAGCAGGACTGATACGAAATTTATGAATATCGATGTCGACAGGGGCTTATGGACTTTATAGTTAAGATTAGAACTTAAGTTTCTTGCAACATCAAAAAGATCAAATTTATGAAGGTTTGAAGTAACGATTAAAAATTTAATCGACCGAAACAACTAGTTACGTGTTTGTTAAGCTCATAAGAGCAGGACTGATATAAATACTAAAACATTAACTTACTATAACGCGAATTTCTGAACGTTCCGACTGCTTTTCAAGACCTATGAAGCAGTAATAACATGAGAAAAAGAAATGTAATAAAATAAAATGAAAAGAATTATTTTTCAAATTTGAGATTTTTTGTGAAAATCATCCCCCAAACGCCATATAAAGTACTCAGTGATCGGTTTCGCTCCTTGTAGAAATTCGTTTATGGCAAATAAGCTTCCTTCAACCAATGTGGAACAATTTCTAAGACTGACTAATATCCGCTCACGCGTTAATAGTGCAAAATATATCGCGCGTTAATTGTCCCAAATTTGCCGATATGGCAATCTTTGAACTTTTCCCACCTCTAAAATATCCCCCCTCGAAATTAGTTTGCATGGCAACTTGGGCACCTTTAGTGAAAAAAAATTACATTCAGTTGGCCGAAATAGGATGTCCTAAAAAATTACACGAGGAAAGAAAAGTGCCAGCGGTCAACACTTTTCTTGCTTTTGAGAAGTTGTTTACTTTGAAGTCTTGGGATTAAGAATATATAAAAAACTGCTTTCTTTTGTACGTTTTTTAATTTCGTTTTGTAGCCCAGGTTTAATAACATTTTCAAATCAATTAAGTTTTTTGTTCAAATTTCCAAATTTTTTTATTCTTGACCATCTAATTGTACCATTGAGAATGTGGATGAACTTTGTATTCGTGTGTGTTTTATTTTTTCTTTGTTTTAATTTTTTTCCTCTTCCACGCAAAATCAGGTAACACAAATAATCATCGGAATGGAATGGTTCGAGCGATACCTCAAATTAAAGCTCTTTCAGTCAAAATTCGAACAAAATTCAAAAGCCTTCAAATGTTTTTAGTGTCGAGAAAAACCAGTCTGAAACTTTGATTCTTTGTCTATTTTCGAGTGAACAAGTTTAGCGTGCGGCTTATTTTGATTTTCAACCAAAATTAACTATAAAAAATAAACATCATAAAAGGTGACGTAAAATATTATATTAAAACCCTTTCAGCCCTGCTTCGAACCATTTTTAAACTTTTCCAAAAAATTGTCCCAGTGTTGAGAAAAACCGGTTCAAACTTTTGGTGTTTTAACCTAAATTCGAGCAAATATGGCAAACGAGCAGCCTTTTAATAGAACAATAACCCATGAAACTTTAGTTTTTGAAGTTTTTTTCAAATGAAAAACTCAAAATTTTCAAAACAATTTGTGTAAAAATTGTTTTAAGAAAATGGAGAAATTTTTTGGATATTTTTTGTTCTTTTTATGATTTTTCAAATCAAAATTTCGACCGTTCTGTTTATTTTACTATGATTGTCGAATTTGTCTAGGTTTTTGTCAGCTCTTTTTACCACACAATTGATAAAAAAACAACAATAATTTAAACCTAAATATAAAAATGACACTAATTAAAAAGAAACATGAAAAAACATTTAGAACAAAGATAACCACTGACTATCCTTGATCTAAATACACCATTGCACTGTTGTTGAGGACTATGTGCTGTTTTTGAATGACTTTCCGATTGTATTTCGAGATGAAAAAAAAACAAGTTGAGTACCATTTCTAGTTTTATACAGCGTCAAATTTTTAAATTTCCGCTTTTTCGACTAAAGCAATTTTAGTCCGTTTTTTTTTGGTTTTTTTTTCATTCTGTGAAAATTTCGGTAATGATAATATTCTTGTATTTCTGATGACTCGAGCTATTATTGACATTTCGTGACCAACTCAAAACTTAAATTTTTTTTCTTCAGTTTTTCTTGTCCGCCTAAGTTGTGATTGACTTTCATGGTCACCTGTAAACGTCTGATCTACTTGCGTGTCGTATAAATCACTGTCTCCGACCCAGCAGATTGAATACAGTTTAGTTTATGTGTTTTGATACAATGCATTACAAGGATTAGCATTTCATATCTTGATCAGATAAAAATATGTTATTCTGGGGGAATATCTAATTAGTGTACCTTATTCCGTGGTATCGGAGTACTCGGTAATACTCTTTTAACACCTGTGTTGATTTAAAAGAAAGTAATCAAGAACTTCGTTCAAATTGCAACTAAATTGATATGATTGATCATTTTATGGTTTGTTGGTCAGCTTAATAAAATCCAAGAAACCCTTTTCTTCACACTGTGAATTAATTTTTAATTTATTATTAACTTTTTGTATCACTAAAGAAGTTTTTTCTTTAAATTTCCTTTCAAAAATATTTTATCCTGTTTTAATTCAAATATCCGAAATTTACCCTGACGACATAAATTGTTTTCACTGAAATATCCATAGAAATCGAGAGTAAAATCGGCAGGGCCCATGTGAACAATCTCCCCCTGAATAAATTACCAAGTGAAAAATCTTACTTCTCAAAAGTTATATAGAACAGAATTTTTAATCGCAGAAGCACAACTTGGCTCCATCTTATCCAAATCAGTACAAAACAAGAATTATTTAGTTCCAACATAAACTAATGATTTCTCTTCATTCGACAGTGGATTTATGGATCCTGAACTATATTTGTTCTTTGATGAATGAGAAAATTCCCATGCCTTTCAAGTTCCTAACTCCTTACTATTTTTCTTCAAAACAATACGATTGAAAAAACATGAGAGTTGAAGGCAAAAAAGCCTGTCATTGATTTCTTTAAGTTCTTGCGTACCCATAAAATTCAAATTAACATTCGTGTTAATTGTAAACAATTAAGGTCACCTTTCTCTCAACTTGACTTTTGACATTACAGCCAAGTTGACTCACTCGTTTCTTTCAACTTTTCAAAAACAGCATGACTTACAAGGAAATGACAAACTTTCAGGTAAAATAATGTTTCAATTTATACGAAAACTCGGGATTAATATCAACTTTTCTGAATAACCCCCTTATTAACAGTTCCCCTTTTCTAACGTTCGCCTTTTAGTATTCCCCGTACTATGTATTATAATATCCCTATTTATGATATTATATTTACCTTAGTTTTATCCCTGATTTACTATTGTATTATTTTTCATGTACTTACTCAACTGATGCCCAACTGCATGGAACTCCTTTGACTCAACCCTTAAAACTACCCTTACTAACAATTGGTGTACTACTCTCCTCAGGTAATTACCCAATTACTATATTGGCGCCCCGAAAAAGTTTTGATTAGCTCGTTACACTGTGTTTTTTATTCCCCAAAACCAAAAATTTATGGTTAGTTACTGTTTTTCCTCCCCAGTTTTTACGTCTGCGGTTTATTATATCTTGTTATAATACTCCCCCATTACAATATTATTTCATTTATTTACAGTTAATCGCAGTTTATTTGATTTACATTAAAAAAAAAAATCAATTATTGCTCTTGATTTCTAACCCATGTAAACTTTAAACGTTTCAATTGTTCATAGCTTCATTTACTTTGAATAATGTATTACGTTATTTTCATCAATTTTCCCCTTTCAATTCGTTTTTTGTTGCTTTGCTATTCCGAGTCTTTTGTGACTCATTTATGAAAAAACTTCAGTTTTCCCGACTCATTTTTGATTTACTTTGATAGTCTTTATTGCCTTTTGCGTTCCTTTCCGAGTCTTTCCTGACTCAATGTTTCATTCCTTTCCGAGTCTTTCTCGACCCATTTGTTGTTCGTTTCCGAGTCTTTCCCTACTCATTCATTCATTCCTTCCGAGTCTTATCTGACGCCTTGTATATTCCTTCCGAGCCTTTCTTGGCCCTTTGCTTCCTTCATTGCTTCCTTCCTTCAAGTGTTTTCTGACACTTTTGCTTTCTTATTGCCCGACTCCTTGGTTACCTGATTCGAGTTCTTTTTGGACTCTCAATTTTCGTCATTGTTCTTCGACATGACATTTGTTTGAGCTTTATCTGAGCTCACTTATTCCGCTTGCTTCGAGCCTCACTGGGTTCGTGGCTACATTCGAGCTTCGTCTTAGCTCACCTTATTTTCTGCTTTGAGCCTCTCGGTTCTTGGCTACTTCCTGTCGAGCTTTACCTGAGCTCATTTCCTCTGCTGCTTCGAGCCTCACTGGGTTCGTGGCTACATTCGAGCTTCGTCTTAGCTCACCTTATTTTCTGCTTTGAGCCTCTCGGTTCTTGGCTACTTCCTGTCGAGCTTTGCCTGAGCTCATTTCCTCTGCTGCTTCGAGCCTCACTGGGTTCGTGGCTACATTCGAGCTTCGTCTTAGCTCACCTTATTTTCTCCTTTGAGCCTCTCGGTTCTTGGCTGCTTCCTGTCGAGCTTTACCTGAGCTCATTTCCTCTGCTGCTTCGAGCCTCACTGGGTTCGTGGCTACATTCGAGCTTCGTCTTAGCTCACCTTATTTTCTGCTTTGAGCCTCTCGGTTCTTGGCTGCTTCCTGTCGAGCTTTACCTGAGCTCATTTCCTCTGCTGCTTCGAGCCTCACTGGGTTCGTGGCTACATTCGAGCTTCGTCTTAGCTCACCTTATTTTCTGCTTTGAGCCTCTCGGTTCTTGGCTGCTTCCTGTCGAGCTTTACCTGAGCTCATTCCTCTGCTGCTTCGAGCCTCACTGGGTTCGTGGCTACATTCGAGCTTCGTCTTAGCTCACCTTATTTTCTGCTTTGAGCCTCTCGGTTCTTGGCTGCTTCCTGTCGAGCTTTACCTGAGCTCATTTCCTCTGCTGCTTCGAGCCTCACTGGGTTCGTGGC